CCAACTAAGTGGAAAAAAAGACCAGGGAGTGGACTCGCCAAACATGAAGCGGCACTGTTAGCATCCAGGTGCGCAGAATTCAAGACCAAAGGCAAAGAGAAGGCACGGGGTTGTTTATTATGGTGAAGCTCCACAGAACCTAGGAAACTCAGGCCCTGATGCCTGGGACCCAGGGCAGCAAAACACAGAGGCAAAAATGCTTAGAAAGACAAGGAGAAGGGGAGGGTACAGCTCAAGTGGCAGAGCGCGTGTTTACCACGCATGAGGTCCCAGGTTCAGTCCCCCATACCTCCTCTAAGAGTAAGTAAATAAATAAACCGAATTACCTCCCCTCACCAAAACAAAACTAAACAAAACAAAAACAAAGACAGACAAGGAGAAGCGACAAAACCACAACTACCCTGGGAGACGTCAATGCTCCTTTTCCCGAGTTTGGCATATTAAGTAAACAAAAACAAGCAAGTATGGAGAAAACATGCGTTATCAAAGCAATAACCTGTTCTTAACACTTACAGAAGGTTTTACCTTTTTAAACCATTTTTTAAATTGAAGTACAGTTAATTTGCAAGGTTGTGTTAGTTTAAGGTGTACAGCAAAGTGATTCAGGTATAAACATATACATATATATATGTGTGTGTGTGTGTGTGTTTCACATTTTCTTCCATGACAGGCGACTACAAGATTTTGAATACAGTTCCCTGTGCTGTACAGTAGGCCCTTGCTGTTTATCTATTTCATATACAGTAGAGTGTGTACGTTAATCCCAAACTCCTAATTTACCCCTTCTCCTCAGAATGTTTTACTTTTAACGAACATTCTATCTTCATTTTCGACCACAAAATGTAAGCAAAGATCAACTATGTGGGTGGCTCCAAATCTTGGTGCCAAAAGTAGAAAATTTACAGGCTGCCACCCTGATCATAATCCAATAAAAAAATAAATAAAACAAAACAAAAAAGATGACCCCCAAACACTCAAAGATCTGAAAAATTAGGAAATACTCTTTCACATGGAGTGCATGAAACTGTTATTTATTTGAAAGACCAACAAAGTAGATAAAACCGAGGCAAGCCTAATAAAGAAGAGAAAGGGGTGGAGGTGGGACCAAAGCAAAATACACAATGTGAAAGGAGACGTAACCTGAGAGATTCAAAAAATAAATGAATGACATGTGTTCGCTCTGTGACAATAAATCTGAAAACCCAGGAGAGCAGCCTTGTTGGCGGAATAGCATTTCAAGCCGCCTGGCTGGTGACCGAGTCAGCGATCAGCCCGGAGCCCAGGCTCAGACCACGAGAGGTTTGCTGGGGGTTTCGGAGAAAGCTCTCCTTGCTCATCGGAACTTCCAGAAACGACCTTCTCTCTCTCTCTTTTCTTGCGTGGATGTAAGGCCTGGGGCGGCAGCAGTCCCTTGTGGACAAAACCAACATGCAGGAAAGTTCAAAGACAGGAGGATCCCAGGACCGGGAAGCCGAAGGCCTGGAAGTGCACCAACACTGGGGCCCGCTCCCCCTCTGAACGTCTCATCACTCGGGGGCGGGGGCGCCGACCTCCGCACAGCTGAACATCTGCGCACGTAACTCACGGTCGGCCCTCCACAACCTCGGTTCTGCGTCCACGGACTCAACCAACCTTGAAGCAGATCGTGTAGCACTGTAATATCACTACTAAAAAACACACAGCCCTGAATAAGTGGCCCCAAGCAGTGCACACCTGTGTTGTTCAAGGGTCAACTGTATGTGAGCCAGAACATCTCAGCATCGAAGCCAGGCTGAGCTACTTCACAGTCCACAGCATCCTGCCGGCCCGGAATCACACCATAAACAAAGACCATCATCCTGACCATAAAAATATAATTGTGAAACTTTAGAAAACAGAAAAGTGGTCTGACTTTTCAGTAGAAGGGGGATCTTTTAGCAGGAGGAGAAAACTTAAGAGCTATCAAGAGAAATACTGACCACTGACTACATGAAAGTGAAACATCCTGAATGCCAAAAGGTGCAAACACCATCGAAGGGCACAGACAGGCTTGAGACAACAGAAGCATTGGTGTATCGATTGCACGGAGGTTAACACACCATATCCAACAGCCCCTACAAACTGATCGAAAGTACACAGACAACCCACTGCCACCGTGAGAACCTCCATCCTCTGACCACTCTGGGAATCTACACCAAGGAAATAACCCTGAACATGGATGGAGTTTTATGCATTGATATCCTCAACATTAACAGATTAAAAACGGGGGTGATTCTGTCCCTAAATTCAGAGAGCACTGGTCAAGCCATAAAACACTGTTCAGGGGCCTCCCACCCTCAAGGGCCATGCTTGTTGGGAAAGCTCCCCCCCGCTGTCTAAGCTGCCAGGATGGTCCCCACCCCTATGGGTGCAGACCACAGTCTACTCACTGTCACGGTGGACAGAGAGGCGTCTTGCCTCTCCCCGGCAGTGGCTGTGGGAGGGCGGGCTGGGTGCCCCCCGAGCATGCCCATGCCGTGGGGTCATGGTGAACCCTGCAGACCCTGCGCAGACCCAGACACAGGCACAGCCCACAGCCGGTGCAACCACGCCTTACCTCGGAATGGGGTCCCTCCAGTCACCCCTCTTGTTTGCTTTCTTCGCTCTGGAGAACTCGTTCACCCAAACGCTGCCAAACAAACCAAACCTGACCTGCAGCCACCTCTCAGCACCTCCTGTAGGGGTGTCTTCCCCCAGATGCTGCGGACCATCGTCTCCGCTGGGGAGCACGTCGGCTCTGCCTGGGGGCAGGGAGGGCTGCTCAGAGACTTTCTGCTGGTGCCCAGCCTCTTCCTTCTGCTCTGATTTTTGTAGAGGCTCTGACAGCGGGTTGTTGCCAGGGGACACAATTTGTTCATCTGGATCAAATCTAAGGAATAATTTCTTTCCATGGACCTAGAAAAAAATGAACATGATCTAAGCCTTTGCTACAGACTCACTGTGTCCTCCCAAAATTCATACGTTGAAATCTACCTGCAAAGTGATGGTATCTGGAGGTGGGGCCTCTGGGAGTTGATCAGGCCAGGAGGGGCAGTCCTCTTGAATGGGGTTAGTGCCCTTATAAAAGAGACCCCAGAGGGCCCCCTCACCCTCCCTCCATGTGAGAACACAGCAAGAAGACAGGCTATCTTGTCTATGAACCAGGAAGCGGGCCCTTGCCAGATACCGAATCTGCCAGTACCCTGACCCCGGACTCCCCGCCTCCAGACTGTGAGAAACAAATGTCTGTTGTTTATAAGCACCTGGTCTGTGGTGTTCTGTTAAAGCAGCCCAAACGGACTAGGAGAGTCTTGTAGACTCAGAGAGGGGAAGACTGGACAGGTGTACACAGACCTTTATCCTTGTGCAAATGTCTCCCCTCTTGACTCCTGCACGAAATTTTTCCAAGTTGTATATTTGCAACTCGGCTTTTGCTTTTTGCTCCAGTGGAGGGGCACTGAGCACATGGTTTTCAAAAGGATTAGAAGCAAGAAGAAGAATTAGATCGGCAGATGAAATAGATCCATGCTTGATACGGGGCCTCCCGAGAATACCCAGGGGGAAATGCTCCCAATTTTTTCATGAATTAGCTAAGAAGTAAATACCAATTATCATTCTTGTATTCAATGCATGATATTTTTCCTTTGTTAAAAATATTCGGCACACACACATGCATGCCACACACAAACTGACAGCAGCCAAAGACAACACGCTGTAAAATTTGGTACCTTCCACCACCCCCGAAATTGGGTTTGGTAGAAGGAACACCCACAAGAGACCTCACAATAAAAAACTATAACCAATAAAATTGAATACTGATATAACAATTGATCGATGAATCAAACCATCACTCTAAAATGCATTCCTCTATAGCACTTTTTGCAGAAATGGAAAAATCCATCCTAAAATTCCTATGAAACGTCGGGGAACCCAAACAGCTAAAACAATCTTCCAACCAGGTTGGGAGCCTCATGCTTCCTGATTCCAAAGTATACAACAAAGCAACTGTGACCAAAAGATCAAAATACTTCACCCCATCCCAATGAAAATGATTTCAGCAGCAGAAAATGAAAACAGACAATGTATGTAAATGAACGTTCCAACCGCTGTGCATTCTACTTCCACGTTGCCAGCCCTGTTCTGTAATGTGCATATGGCCAGATTCCAGGATAAGCCTGTTCTGCATGACCCCAAACTCAGGCAGTCTTTCAGAGTTACAACCCAAACATCTGGCATTAATAATAGAAATGCCTGTGCTATTTTTTGACCAAAGGTACATGCATAAAGATCACAGTTCTGACAAGATCTCCCATTTGTCAATTAGTATGAAAATTACCAACCGTAGCAGTCTTTTGAAATCCTCTCCCCAAAAGAAGGCATTATCTTTCTAAATAATTCCAGAATAACTTATCTGCAAATCTGAGCACAGCTGTTTGCTGCCACACCTCAGAAAAGGTTTAA